TGAACCAACCGAGGAGGTCCCACATTGCAGATGGTGCATCAGAGCTGCTACACAGAGGAAAGTTGCTGAGTTACCTTGACCTGCAGTGAACTAGAATTTGATGTTAGCATTTTTGTGACATCTGTTATCATAGCATATCAAAGCATATTCTGATATTCTCACTAATACAGAAAGGTTGTGAGAATTGGTCAGACTGCCTTCCCACGTTATACTTATTTCCTTGCAAGCATTCTCATTGTCTTCATAGGTGTGTTTTATTGTCTATATTTGATAGGAAGTTTGTTTGTGATTATTCTTTTTAATTAATTCTCCCTCTGCCTCTAACCAATGTTCTTGTAGTAAATAATTATATTCACTTCACTGAGTTAACGTAACAAAAAGCACAGACTAAATAAACAAAATTTATTTCACTCTCCCCTTTCTTTTCTACTTTCCATTTACCCTTCCTTCCTCGCTACCTTTTCTTCCTACTTCTTGCTTTTCTTTCTTTCTTTTATCCATTGTTCCCCCCTGTCCTTTCCACCTTCTAGAAACAATGTCTGCTCAGTAAATGCTGATTACCTATTAATTGATTTTTTTAATCTCCAAAGTGCTAAGTACTATGTCCTTCCCCTTATCTCCCCCTCTCTTCTTGCTTTCATCTCTCCTCCCACCTTGGGACGCCTATTCTGGTTTAGAATAGCACTATTTGTTTTTGTTGTGTTTTTTGTTTTCATTGTGTTTTTCGTTTTCTCCTTTGACATGGTTCAGGGACTCAGCCTGACAGTTTGAGGCAATCTTGAGAATGAGAACTTCCATCTCCCCTTTGGGTTTCTAGGCTGCATAGTGCAACCGAATCTCCCCAAAACCTCCTTATACTCTTTTCTATGAAAGTTATACTATTACAATAATCAGAAATAGTAAATAGATCACAAAAGCCTTTGACAAGGAGAAGTCACAGAATTTAAAGATCTGTCACATAGATCTTTAGACTCATAATTCCAACCTAAATTTCTACTTTCTTCTCTAAAGTGATAAATGATCTAAAGAAAATTTTAAAGTACACTGAAAATGATAAAGGATAAGTAATTCTTGAGCTAGTAAATTTTGCTGGCACTGTGTAGTAGTGTTTACACACATATAAGCAGCTGGAATTGGGCAATGATGCTCACCTATTTACTTAGACAACTGTGGCCACTACTCTTGAGGTCCTCCTTTATCCTTAAATGCATCCAGTTTCTGTCCTTTAATTTGGTCCCTGGTTTTCAGCCCTAGACTCAACTCAAATACTGTCCTTATCCATACATAGATGGTGCTTCTTGATTTTACTCTTCAAGAGGGCTCTTACAAAGTCCTCTGTCTGGCATCTCCATGTTTAGACATTTCCTCTGGCTTTATTCATTCTAGGTCAACCCTCAGAAACCCACCTCAGTTCTAACCTTAGCAGTCCAAGATGGACTTGGGCACGTAGGAACAACATAGAACTAAAAACATTTTAAAAGTGAACATGAAGCGTTTAATCAAAAGGCCATGTTGTGCTACTTTCCAAGTCAGTTGTTAAACATGGACATTATTTAAAAATAAACTGGCTGGGGGCAGTGGCTCATGCCTGTTATCCCAACACTTTGCAGACCAAGGCAGGCAGATTTCTTGAGCCCAGGAGTTCCAGACCAGCCTGGGCAACATCATGAAACCCTGTGTCCACACAAGAAAAGACAAAAACTAGACAGGCATAGTGGTGCACACCTGTACTCCCAGCTACTCAGGAGGCTGAGGCAGGAGGATCACTTGAGCCTCGGAGGTTGAGGCTGCAGTGAGCTGTGATCATGCTATTGCACTCCAGCCTAGGTAACACAGCAAGGCCATGTCTCAAAATAAATAAATAAATAAACAAACAAACAAACTGTTTAAACTTTTAACTAAGCTATGTTAAAATAAAGGGAATATATATGCAAAACTAATCACTTCTTAATTATTTTACCAGATTTTTACTATTTTTTATTCTTTTGGGGTTACTTGCATCTAATGTATCTGTTTGATGGGAATATTATATAATGGTGTACTACTGTGCTGTCTTCCCAACTTTGAGTTCAATTAGCCACTGTGAGAGTATTTAGACTAAGGAAATCAACAAATACTACAAATCAGGGTGTTTTCCTCCACACACCCAGCTGGTCAACACTTATCAGCAAGGGTGACAGTTTCTCTTAGATGTGGATAATGAAGACAAAACTGTAAGGTAGGGGAATTATTCATGGCTACTTCCCCAGAATGTACTCCCATACTGTTCCTTTCCTTAACAGAACACTAAATCACCTAGCCACATAGTCTGCATGATACCTTGCCTTCAGCTTCAAGCTTATTGTCTTAAGCAAAGTGTTGTAATCCCAAACCTCACTACAGGAAGCCTGGTTTGAAGACATATTCATGATCCAAATCAGGCCAACTATGACCACTGAAGTTGATTTGAGGAAGCTGCATTTGAGCTACCAGGAAATCCAATCTGTCATTCCTGTTACATCTGAATAAAGAAGCACATAGCCCTGGAAGACACTGGTAATCATCTTAGAACACAAACAAAAGACTGCCCATGCATGAATATAAGCCAAGGACATAGAACCAAGAAATAGTGAGAGAAAAACTAGGTTGGACCAAGCCTTCTCTGAATATCTAATCTAAGGCTTTCTGTAAGTTAATGCCCTTAGTTAGACTGAGGTGGACTTTTAGTTATTTGTACCAAAATGATTCCTTTCTAATACACAACATGGAGTGTGTATCTTTAGATGAGGTCATTGCAGGAAGAAAGTAAACACTCTTCGCCCGTCCTATGATAACTTTATGTGAGCATATGCCCTACTCTCCCACCACAGAGCAAGCTCTTTGTAGGCTTAAACTTCTTATTGCACATCTTTGTGTCTGTAGTTACTTTAACACTGCACCCTGCAAGTGCAGAGCAGGTAGTAAGTGCTTAATATAGGTTTGCTTAATTGAATTTGTTAGTAAGTCAGAGAGAGATTGTGCAAGAAATGGAATGAATCAGAGTAAATTCCTCTTCTCTTCTTCAGCCAAGCAGCCAATATGAACCCATCTGTTGTCATTTCTGAATGTCCCAGAGAAAAAGGAATGAAGCAATGTAGCTCTTGAGTCCAACAGTTCAGTCTTTCAACTGAAGGAAGTTAGTTTTCTTCAGGGATAGAGTGAAAATAGGCCCTGGTCTTCCATTTGGCATAAACATTAGGAAAACTCCTTTGGTCAATGTTTTCATGATGCTAAATATCTGGATAAGAATGAAAATGTGCAGTCAACATGCTTCAGAAACTCTATGCATATGATACCACATCAGCAAAATATCAAGTTACTTAACCAGACTTCTCATTTTCTCTGCAGGAGTCTGGGTTGCTTATATCCATGAAAGTGATTACTATGAGTATAACAGTCCCAGAACAGTGTGGCACTGTGAGTCTGAATGAAGCCAGTCCCTTATTACTTGGGGAGGGAGGTAAGTATGGAACAATGGCAAGTCAACATGAATGTTTCAGTTACATTTCAAGGAAGAAAGAGAAAATAACCATAGAAAGAGGACCGCTGCCTGCTTCTGCTTTCCCATGCTTCCTGTTTCCTTTCTTCAACAGCCCTATTGATGTCCAACATACATCTTATTTATTTACGTATTTCTCTTTTTTTGAGAAAAGGTCTCACTCTGTCACCCAGGCTGGAGTGCAGTGGTGCGATCTAGGCTCACAGCAACCTCCCTCTCCTGGGTTCAAGCAATTCTCCTGTCTCAGCTCCCTGAGTAACTGGGATTACAGGCATGCACCACCATGTCCAGCTAATTTTTTTGTATTTTTAGTAAAAATGGAGTTTCACCATGTTGGTCAGGCTGGTCTCGAACTTCTGACCTCAAGTGATCCACCCACCTCTGCCTCCCAAAGTGCTGGAATTACAGGCGTGAGCCACCATGCCCGACCTATTTTCACAAATTTAAGTTTTCTATTTCCCAGAATGTAAGTGCCAGGAAGGCAAGGATTTGTCTTTATTTTTGTTCACGGCTGTATCCTCAGTACCTAAAATAGATTTTGGCACACAGTAAATGCTCAAGAAATATTCATTAAACAAATGAATGACCTTTAGAATGACCATTTGCCAATCAGTTCATAAATTAGAAATTAAAATGGCCAGGTTAAAAAAAATTGTTTTTTTTCCCCCAAGTTAAATTAAAAGACCTTGTGACAATTAGTTCTGGCTCAACTATAGTCTAACTGTGTGACTATAATCAATTCACTTAACATTTTGCTCCTTCATTTCTCCATCTGGAAAATGGGCACAATAGTACCGGAAACATTCTTCAAAAGCTTTCAAGAATCTCAAAAGAGGCAACGACTATAAAAGTATTAGGTTCAAGATTCAATGCAGATGCTTAACATTGTTTCATAAAATTAAATAAGGATCTCATTGTCCTTTAACTTACTAAGCTGGCAAAATTTCATTTTTCAGCTTCTGTTCTTATACATACTAATGACTATACATTAAACAACTTTCTGTATTTTCATTTCATCCAAAGTATTGTTTATAGCAATTTTAATTAACCAATCATTTTCAAACAAAACTGTAATTTCTGACATTTTAAATTTGCTTTCAAAGTCACAAACTTTTAAAGATAAAAATAGATATACTAAAAAAATCCAACCTAACTCATATTTATTGAGACATGTGAAATGGCATTTTTCCAGGGTAATCATTCTTTCCTCCTCCCAGTATGTCAATAACAAACCGGGTTTTTTTGTGGTAGAAATTCCATTTATTCTCTTCTCATTTTCTCTTTCAAGCTGAATTCTATTGTAGAGTCTTCCCTTTCAATCTTTAAAAAGTGACCCTGTACCTTTAATAGCGGAGACCTGGTGAGAGGTTTCTTTCCAAACTTTTCCCTGGCTTCCAAGTGACGAAACCGGCTGTAATTTGAGAGCAGAGAGATCCTCAGGATATCTTTAGCCAAAGGAAAAGCTCCGCATTCCCACCCAGTCCAGAAATTGAAATACTATCAGGGGGCAAGAGGCTTTCTCTCCAGCTACACACTGCATCTCCCGGGAGCAAGGGGAAACTCCGAGAGGAGCGCTACAGAGCCAGCATCTTGCCAGCGCCCCCGGAGGAGGGGTTCCCCGCTACGCCTGTGCCGGAGGAGTTCCAGCCACCGAGCGAGGGGCGCAAGGGTGGGTGCATCCTGCGCTGTGGCGGCCGCGCTACCCAGACGCTGGTGTGCAGAGCCACATGAAGCCTGCTGGGGACTGGGGTCCAGGGAGCAGCAAGCCGGCTGGGACTGAGGCGGACGCTGTCTCAGGGAGACGCTGACTCGCAAAGACACTCCCTTCCTTGTGCCTGGGTGATAAGTCTCCTCCTGGGGTCCCTGGCCATCCTGAATATCCAGAATGGTGTTTCTGAAGTTCCTCTGCATGAGTTTCTTCTGCCACCTGTGTCAAGGCTACTTCGACGGCCCCCTCTACCCAGAGATGTCCAATGGGACTCTGCACCACTACTTCGTGCCGGATGGGGACTATGAGGAGAACGATGACCCCGAGAAGTGCCAGCTGCTCTTCAGGGTGAGTGACCACAGGCGCTGCTCCCAGGGGGAGGGGAGCCAGGCCGGCAACCTGCTGAGCCTCACCCTGCGGGAGGAGTTCACCGTGCTGGGCCGCCAGGTGGAGGATGCTGGGCGCGTGCTGGAGGGCATCAGCAAAAGCATCTCCTACGACCTAGACGGGGAAGAGAGCTATGGCAAGTACCTGCGGCGGGAGTCCCACCAGATCGGGGATGCCTACTCCAACTCGGACAAATCCCTCACTGAGCTGGAGAGCAAGTTCAAGCAGGGCCAGGAACAGGACAGCCGGCAGGAGAGCAGGCTCAACGAGGACTTTCTGGGAATGCTGGTCCACACCAGGTCCCTGCTGAAGGAGACGCTGGACATCTCTGTGGGGCTCAGGGACAAATACGAGCTGCTGGCTCTCACCATTAGGAGCCATGGGACCCGACTGGGCCGGCTGAAAAATGATTATCTTAAAGTATAGGTGGAAGGGTACAAATGCTAGAGAGAGGGAATCCAATCAGCCCCGCTTTGGAGGGTGGGGGACAGAAGATGGGGCTACATTTCCCCCATACCTACTATTTTTTTATATCTAGATTTGCACTTTGAGAACAAATCTGAGGTCATCTTTAAAAAGAGAAAAATTGGAGACGAGTGATTTTGTTTTAGTTTTGTTTTTGTACATTATTTATGTGATTGTGACAGAATTGTCACCTGGAAAGAACAATTTTAAGCAATGTCATTTCTAGATGGCTTTCTAATTCTGCAGAGATACCTGTTTCAGCCACATCTAAAAGAGCACAGTTGTATGTGGTGGGGAATGAAACTTCCCCATCCTGCAGATTATGTGGAAATACCCAAACATAATAGTGCGTAGCTCCTTTTAGCCTCTAGCCTTCACTCCTGGGCTCCAAAAGCTATCTGAGTTGCTTGTTTTTCAAGTGAGGTTCAAGGTGCTGCTTTGCATGCCTGCCAACCCATGGAAGCTGTTTGTTACTTCTTTTCTGTCTTATTTATTAATCATGGTCTGAGAGTTGTTTTTGTTTTTTGTAACAGTATTGCCACAAAACTATAGGCAAATCGCGTTTGCAGGGAGATTTCTGGTGCCTCTGTGGGTGTGTGTAAGTTAAAGTGGTCACATTTAAGAAGGCCAAGCTTTGTAGTGGTTGCACAGTCACACTGATATGCTGATTTGCTCTTTCTCATTGTATGTCTATGCTTTGTCATCAGTGCTACAGTAAATTACAAAGAAGTAGTCAGATTGTTTGAACATACCCCAGATGCCTATGATTTAGGTTACCAATGTATTCTTTCTCATTTGGGGTTTTGCTTCTGTTTGTTTATTGGAAACTTGTAGTTCAAGTAGGGGGAATTCTAATTCTAATAACTCCTTAGCTAAGTTTTATAATTCAGGCAATAAACATGTTTTCATATAATACTGGCTTACTTTGTAATTTACATCTGTAACTTCCATATTTCAAAAAGGGGCCAATGCAAAAGGAGAGAGATTTAAGCCAGTAAACTGGATTTAACCCAGTTTACTTAGAGTATATGATAAAGAAGGCAGGGGAATAGCCACATGTTTGGCAATTCTCTCCATAGTCACCCAGCATCCTCACAAGAAAACAAAAATCTAGCCATTGCCAGAATTTTACATTTGATCCCTATAGGTCTCCTTAAAGACTCAAATTTTCTCCAGTTTTTCTCATAAACTCAATTGGAAAAGTTTCTGACAAGGCTCATACCCTATACCCTTATGCAGAGCAAGCATTCCATCCTAAGTTACAAACTACAATGATGTTTAATTTTGAAGCCAGGTCTACATTATTTAATTAATGGCTTTAAAAGGTGGAGATGCACTTTATTTAGTATCTTTCCCTAGCCAATTCTTACTCTCACCTTAAATATGCTTTCTTATTGCATATATGCACAGATGCACACACACACACACACACACATGAAAATAAATAATGTTCATATTCTTCTGTTCAACAGACATTTATTTTCTCCTCTCCCTTGAATAAGAAAACAAGTTTTCCATTCCTATGAACTGTCTAATATCTTTCTATTACTGTAGGGGAAACTGAGGCTGGGAAAGGCTAAGTGACTTATCTTCCGTCAGTTATAACAGCCCCTAGTCTCTTAAATTTAAGTACAGGACTTGCCCGAACTAATATTTTTAAGAATACTGAGAAATGAGAGAGAGTGGTCAAATGTCTGAAATTTTGCTTAACTTATTGTACTTGAAATCACTTATAACTTCTTTTTGTTACTCAGGGCCCCATTTTTGTTGCTTTTTAGACCTGTGTGTAGAAAGAAGATTAATGATCACTTAAAATAGTTTCCTTCTTTATTCTAAAAAAATGAGGAAAAAATAACATTGGCAAATAAAATCATATTTGGTACTAAAATTTTTGTAGTTTGAAGTCACAATCATTAATGCCTCAAAACATTATATCACTCACTTCACAGTAATTATTTGGTAGTTCACACTCTTACCAAATGTCATCTCGTTGATTTTCCCAGCTATAATGGGAGGATATTGGACATGTGATAGTGATGGAAAACTGTTTTCCCTGTGCATGCTAATTTCAATCTATTGGTAATGCTTCCATACAACGTTATGTTAAGAAGGATTCAAAAGACACAGAAGTGAAGAGTGTCATCCCTAATTAGAGATATCTTCCATGGGTGCAAGAAGGGGAATGGTAACACATCTGCTATAAATTTGAAAACCCTTAAATAGATTATGTATGAGGTTCTTTCCAGTGCTAACATTCTATGATTCCTACAAAACCAGAACGAAATTATCTGGCATCCAATCACTCCACTCAAGCCTAGATGTACAGCCAGTAATCCCACAGAGTCTTATGTAAATGGCTTCAGAGGGCAAATGGGAATTTCCAGGTGGGGAGAGGAAACAATCCTGAACTGCCAGCCCAGAGAATAACATCACAAGGCTGTTCCAAACCTTCTTAGGGTGGGGAGCCAGACCTACTCACATCTTTCCTCTCCACTTCCTCATGATTCTTATTAGACCTTGTTATTCATGCAGTGACAAATTCTCTTTTCAAGCAGTGGTTCTTTTTATTTCTTAGACCATGTACTATTTTGAGAATTGAAAGAAAACTACACACTCTCTTCTCTGCAAAATCTACTTGCAAACGAATCTATACAAGTTAGGATAGTAATTATTTTTATATTTGTTGACCACTTAATTTGTGCCAGGCACTGAGCTGGGTTGTTGGTCATTCTGGGATGTTACAAAGCCCTGGGGCTTCATCTGTAAACCAAGAAATTTAAAAAGCCTCTTAGAGTTTTATTTGGAACAGGAGGCATTTATTATTGTTATTGTTGTTGTTTTTGTTGTTAAGTATAGTAACAATTAAAAAACAGCTAACTTTTCTGAAAACTCAGTATTATTGGTAAGGCCCTGTGCTAAGAACTTTGCCTGGGTCATTTCTCTTAATTCTAACAACAAACTGCATGAGGAAAGCATTTTATAAAATGAAGTAGACCGGGCGCGGTGGCTCAAGCCTGCAATCTCAGCACTTTGGGAGGCCGAGACGGGCGGATCACGAGGTCAGGAGATCGAGACCATCCGGCTAACACGGTGAAACTCCGTCTCTACTAAAAAAAAAAAAAAAACTAGCCAGCGCCTGTAGTCCCAGCTACTCGGGAGGCTGAGGCAGGAGAATGGCGTGAACCTGGGAGGCGGAGCTTGCAGTGAGCTGAGATCAGGCCACTGCACTCTAGCCTGGGTGACAGAGCGAGACTCCGTCTCAAAAAATAAATAAATAAATAAATAAACAAACAAACAAACAAATAAAATGAAGTAATACATGTCAAGCACTTAGAGTCGCGCCTGAGACATAGTGAATCCTCAATAAATTTTACTTGCTGTTATTACTGTTTTTATTATTATCATTACCTTTATAGCTGAGGCCTAGAAAGCCTAGGTACTATTTTCAGGACTAAAACTGTATAATATCTTATATACCTTACTATGATCTCGGTCTTAACTGATGATTCTCTAATGAGATATACAAGCAAATAAAAGAAGAATGTGGAGGATAGGGGATTAAAGGGGCCTCCAGTTACCATTTTAAATGTCCTCTGCAGTTTAGATTCTTGATAATGTCTGGAAGTCAGAAGCTGGTTGGCTTCCCTGTTTATAGAATTACTCATTAATACTTTCTCTGGGAGATGTGTTGTACAGTACCACTAATTCTTCTCTCAGTCGAACCACATGAAAACATCTACATAACTATTTTGAAGTGTTCTACAGGTATCTATCTGGAGGCTGTTGATGAAAGACACCAGGCTACTTTAGCCTCTGCTACCACCAAAGCCAGGCTCATAGAAGCGGTCAGAAGCTGTAAGAAGCCAGCAGGTGTGTTATGCACAGCAGTACCAAGAAGCCATCCAATAGTTCACACACTTTTCATTGCCTTTTAAACTCTCATTTACAACTCTGCTAAGGAAATGGGCTCAAAACTTCCCGGGAGGAGCCTTGAAACTTAGATTATAAACTATTTTAGTAAGTTATAAAAATGTCCATGAAACCCACTAATGATATGAAATCATACTAAGGGGCAGTGTGGTCAAATTTCTGATGCATTTTTCAGAGGAGGATTATTAAATTATTTTTTATATGGAATGTAATACTAAATTTCATGTAAAATTGGGATGTAACATTTTATATGGAATAATAATATTGGATAGAAAATAGAAATGCTAAATATGGTTTATTAATATTTTAATATAAAAGAGAAAACAATTGGAGACGTAAGAAGATTTGGTTTCAAATAGAATACAAAAAACTGCAACAATAACTAGTATAGAAAATGGGATTCCTTCAATCATATTAGTGACTGTGGAATTAAAATGGTCCTTAGGAATACTATTTCTAAAGTCTGGATCTCGATGGATATGTCATTCATTAAATATTTTAATATGCCACTATATGAGGTAGCCAGGATAATAATAGCTTATAAATATGTAAGGAAACTGACACCTAAACAAAGAATTCAAGTACAGCAATGTAGGAGATTGGAGTATGTACAAGGTTCTATGGGAGCTCAGCAAGAATTTAAATTAGAACTATCTGGAAAATGTGGAGTAGCATATCTTAGGCTAATCTGTGCTGCCATAACAGAATGTCTGAGACTGGGTAATTTATAATGAACAGAAATGTATTAGTTAACAATTCTGAAGACTGGGAAGTCCAAATCAAGGTATCAGCGCTTGTGAGAGCCTTCTTGTTATGTCATAACATGGTGGAAAGAAAGAAGGCTAGAGAGAACAAGAGGGGGCCAAACTCATTCTTTTATACTGGCACCAACCACACCCATGAGCATGAAGCCCTCATGGCCTAATAACCTCATTAAGGTCCTGCTTCTTAATACTGCTCCAATGGCAATTAAATTTCATTGAGTTTTGGAAGTCCCAAATATTCAAACCTTAGCGCAGTGCAAATAAAACAAAGATTCGGCATAAACACACATTCAAGACACGCAGGATTTTTATTCTTGCTGCTAGTGTTATTGTTGTTTAGCCTTTTTAATAACAATTTCTGATTACAAAAGTCATTATCAGCCAGGTGTGATGGCTCAAGTCTGTAATCCCAGCACTTTGGGAGGCCGAAGCGGGTGGATCACAAGGTCAGGAGTTCAAGACCATGTCTTGAACCATGGTGAAACCTCGAACCTACTAAAAATACAAAACTTATCCAGGCACAGTGTCAGGTGCCTGTAATTCCAGCTACTTGGGAGGCTGAGGCAGGAGAATCACTTGAACCCAGGAGACAGAGTTTGCAGTGAGTAGAGATTGTGCCACTGCACTGTAACCTGGGCGACAGAGCAAAACTCTGTCTCAAAAGAAAAAAAAATGTGATTATCTGCTGAATGTTAATAATATAGAAAACACAGTAGCACAAGAAAACAAAATTGTTCATATTCTGAAACTCCTTCTGCCATATACTCACTATTTGCATTTTGGTATACTTTTTTCCATACTTTTCATGTATATCTATGTATATATTTTCTCTTTAGAAAAAGTATTATAATAAATATATTGTTTTGTACCAATGTTTATTTCAGGTGTTAAGAATATTTAATTGCATCAATGTTTTTTAAATGCTTAGATCTATCCACAATGTTTCAGGATGCAGAGGTTCTAGGTTCTAGATCTTGCCTCACAATGTATTAGCTGTGTAACTTTGAATGATTCTCTGAAATGTTCTGAAATTCAGTCATTTTGTTTGAAAAATGAAGATAATTATAGCTAGTGTTTATTAAACAGGCACTGTTCAAAGTGTTTTCCACATATTATTTTATATAATCTGGTTAGAATTATATTCTAGGTTGATGTTACATTTCATAAATCTTTCAGATAAAGAAACTAAGACGCAAAGAGCTTAAGTGTTTAAAAGTTA